TGTAATAAATGATAACATTCATTAAAGAAGGAAGAAATTACGGAGTTTTTAAAATTATAATTCCAATTCAATATGTTTGTATATCGTAATATCACAAAAAAATTTAATAAAAAAAAATGAAAAAACATTTATACGCTCTATATATTTGTTACATATACTTATAACGTAATAGCCACCAAGTGTTTTTTTAGATTAAGTGGATGATGTTTATAAGAGAATTAATAGAGAGAGAGTATACATTCTTCAATTAATATTAATGCAATTTAAATAAACATTCTAAAGAAATATTCCATTTAGATTAGTTTACTTACGTGTGAATGGACATAAAAATAGCATTATTAATATATATTTCTAACAGAAACCATTTTATTAAGGCAAAATCTGAATTAAAGTAGGTAGAAAAACTTTAATTTTTTACATTTCCAGATGTATACTACCAAATTAAGCAGACTATAAACCAGTTGAAAAATTTTCAAGTCTAAAGTTATAATAAATATTATTATTCATGAAAATAATGGTTTCTTATAAATGACAAATATTGCGGATAATTAATTAATTGTTTAATACTAGACATCGTTCTAATAAATACACACACAGTAATTTATTTAAATATACTTATATTAGAAAAGTAAATATGTACTAGATGATGTAGCAATTAATATTAAAAAAAAAATAGTTAATTATATGATAACCTTTTAAAGATTCTCATATATTGTAACATCATTACATAATACAAGGTATGCCAAAAAATTTGCAACAAATGAGATTTACTTTTCAGTTTTTAAAAAAGTTTGTGCAAAACTTCTTCGACATATCCAATAAAAAAATCATTTTGTCATTATGTTATAAGGTTATATGACAACTCTCATTTGCTGTCCTCCTTTCACGCAGTTGAGCAGCTTTGAACTGTTCAAGAACGCGATACTCTCACTCCATTCAATTGAGTCATAAAGTTCCAGAACTGTTCCGCGCCATTTCAGAACCGTTCTCGAGTAGCCCCAGGGCGTAAAGCCCGGAACTCGAAATTCGCGAATGCAGGACAGCAATTGCGCATTATAATAAAAATCCTCTTTCAATATGAGATAACAAAATATCAAAAAAATCACATAAAAGTTGTCTTACCAAGTTTCATAAATATTAAATATTTTGGAACTTTAAAAATATCAATTTTTATTTTCACGGTTTTCAAGAAATATACAGGGTGGTCCGGACTGATTTGCGGAAACTTCGGCAGTATATATTCTACAGATGAAAAAAAGTTCGTATAAATGTATGTCCTAAAATGCTTATTTTCGGAAATACAGGGTGTAGAAATTTCATTTTTATTTCGAGAGAGAGAGATTTTTTTCCAATAATTTCTGAAGTAACGTCAATAATTGGATCAAAATTGGTGTCTGGGAGTTTTTTGACATGAAAAATTTGATTTTGCTGTCAATATGACTCCTACTTGTAGAGGGCGCCACCTATATAGTTTTTAACTGGTTTGAAGAGTAATAAATTTTCGCCCGTACCTGTATAAAACTACGGAGTAAAAAAAAAATACATTTGCGACGTTTTTTACGTAAAAAGGATCTCTTGATAAAAATCGCTACGAGTAATGGTTCTCGAGATATTTGAAATCGAAATTATCAATACCTGTCATCATTGACATAAATTAAACATGCTGACTAAATATTTATTAAACTGAAATCATAAACTTGAAATGTTTTTGTGCCAAAAGTTCAACAGAAACTGTTTTATCGTCATTTTTTCACAGAAAAAATTATGATTAATTTAAAAAAATAAAAATTTCAATAATAACATGTATTGACTATTTCCATTCTAAATATCTTGAGAACGGCTCCTTGAAGCGTTTTTACCAAAAGACATTTTTTACGTAAAAAGTCACGGAAATGTATATTTTTTCACTCAGTAGTTTTATACAGGTACGGACACAAAAAGTTATTACTATTCAAAACAGTTAAAACAAATGTAAGTGGCGCCCCCTACAAATAGGAGTCATATTGACATCAATATCAAATTTGTCATGCCAAAAAACTCCCCCGAATACTAACTTTCATCCAAATATTGACATTACTTCAGAAATTATTTGGAAAAAATCGAAATAAAAATGAAATTTCTACACCCTGTATCTTTGAAACTAAGCATTTTAGGACATACATTTATACGAACTTTTTTACTTATTTTTATCTGGAGAATATGCTGCCGAAGTTTCCGGAATACAGTTCGGACCACCATGTATATATTTTTTTAACGAATTCTCTACTATGCTGTAAATAATTATTGTATTATTTAAGATACTAAACTGATGCAAGGCAAAAAAAATGTAAGCAAATATGTATTATTTTTTCATCTATAGAGGATGAAAATATTGAAAAAGCCTATCATCAAATTACTTTGAATGAGTTAGCATGTAGAGATGGGTTGTTATTTAACTATCTGTTATTTTATAACAGTTATTTAGAAATAACATAACGCAACCATTGTTACTCCTAAAAAGTAACAGATATAAAATAAAGACACGTAGAGATCGACCGCTCGTTATACAAAGCCGGCGCCCTGCATGGCCACGAAATGCTATGGTGCCCGAAGCAATCCAAAAAAATAACTAGTATGAAAAATCTCAGTTATTTTGATAATCATTGATAACGGACGGCATCGGCAGTCGAGGTACAGTCCCTAGTGGGGAATGCGCTACGGCGAACGTTCGGTCGATGGTCGTGTTGGCCTCGTAACAGCTTAAAAATAACGTATATAAAATAACAGTTATTTTAGATATGTTGTTTCTTAACCTGTTACGAGCATAATGGGTCGATATAAGCGGAGTTGGAAAATAATAGATTTTTCGCCTGTGTCGGTCGATCGCGGTGTACGGTGGCCTAAGAATTTAATTATCTAATTTTTAATACATTCATATATTTGCAAAAAATATAACTAAAGGGTATTTTGCGTTTTCTAAAACATATCGACAGTCAGAATTTATTTCAATAGTTTGAAAGTGATTTTGTTTTGTCAGATTTCTAGGTATTTTTAGCATCAATAATGCGTGGTGAATAAAAATATTTATTAATTATAACTGAACTAAATAAAATTGTCTTGAATAAGCTTCTGTTATTAGAATCGTTTTGAGCAAGTTTATTTTACTATTTTGCTTTCTGAAAACTTATTTTTATTTATTTACGTTTTAAAGTTATTACTTAGTTATTAAGTTTTAGTTACTTAGTTATTTTTATTAATATTTCTAAATGCATGTACTTTCATTGTTTTTGCTACGTTTTAAAACTCTTCAAAGACAATTTTACTTACCTATCAGCAATGATGATATCAAGAAACTGTGAATGCTTATCAGCTAATTTTTTTTTAATATTAATATTGATTTTTTTTAAATAATTATTTTATTAATTATTAATAATATAATAAACATATTCTAAAAAATAAAACAGAGTTATTATTTAAATAAATTACTTTTTTTATTAAGAAATAAATACGAAGATTTTTATGATTTTACTACAATTTGGACAATGTGTATGTTTTTTAGATTTTTAAGATTAAAGTCAAAAAATAACAGAAACCTCATATTTTAAGCTGTTATATACCGGGTGCGTCTCAAATGTGGCTCACCCCTATAACTTTTTTATTTTTTCAGATTAAAAAACGAGATTTGGTATGTTAGTATATGACATAAATTAGGATTGATTCACGTAATCAATTGTTTTTGGTCACTTCCTGTTTCACCGGAAATGACTACAATTTTTGATTTTTAAATGGCACCCTAGGTATTTTTTTACTTTATTCAATAGAAAATGAAATTCTGAATAGAATGACATATCATATGTCAACTTTTGACGTTCTCCTTTAATAAAAAATTGCATTTTAAAATTCAATCTAGAGTGCCATGGTCATATTAAAAACACTAATTCTTAATCAAGGAGCCTTGAAAAAATAGATTTGATCGTCTAATGTTTTTAGTGTTTTGTCCTGGTCAGTTAGAAAATGCTCAAATCGTATTTATAATCATATCTTAATTTTTTCAAATGGAACGACTGGAACGCTCATTAGCATATTTAGAAAAAGCATTTTTTTACGAATAATTTGATACCACACACTTTTGATTTTTTGAGTCAAATTTTCGTTACGAGCCGCAAGTTATAATGTCAAATAAACCATATGCGAAAATGTCAAAAGTTGACATATGATATGTCACTCTATTCAGAGTGTTATTTTCTATCGAATAAAGTAAAAAAAATACTGAGGGTGCCATTTAAAAATCAAAAGTTGTGGTCATTTCCGGTGAAACAGGAAGCGACCGAAAACAATTGAATACGTCAATCAATCCTAATTTATGTCATATACTAACATACCTAATCTCGTTTTTATGACTAAAAAAACAAAAAAGTTATAGGGGTGAGCCACTTATAGGGGTGAGACACGCACCCGGTATAAATAACAGTAACAGTTTCATCTGTTATTTAAAAATAACGGTTTTGCCCAACAGTATTGGCATGTGTTTTTTACAATTTATTGCTGGATAGTAAAATAAAATTACTGCATTAAAAATTGTGTTTTTATTAGATTTGCTTTATATTATCTCTATTCATTTTTATTTTTTTTTAAATAACTGAAAGTGATATTTCTTGAAAGTCCTTGTATATTTATGAGAGTTGGTACATGATGTAAAATCAATTCTGAACTACTTTTCATTTTGACTTTTTGTCTCCTCTTCCCTCCTTGAATGAAAATCGATTTTTTGTTATTGGACGTGCTAAAGAAACTTTGTATGATTATTTTTTTTTTTCAAAACTCAATAATAAAAAAATAATTTATTGGGAACTTTTTGATACATCCTGTATAAATGACCTAACAGATCTAAGATTCCTTCAGGTTCAAAAATAGTCATTAAAAATCTTAACTTATTTAGATCATTTAAATGAAGAGCAGTTATTATTTAAAAAAGTTCATGTTTCGTTAACAAATTAAATGTATTAGTTAATTCCACATACCTCTTCCTGTGCTGGGTATACATCCAGGATGTATATTAGGTTGTAGAGCTTCGCCCATATGCTGTGACGGATCAACTAAAGCTATTAAATTATTTGCCATCAGATTGTTATTGATTAATGTTTGAGTAGTATCCATTGATACTTCACCCAAACCATTTACAGACATTCCGTTGACCATATTTACAGCATTTCGTACCCCTTGAGCATCTAGCTGACTCCAGTAAGTTTCACTTGGTGAAACATTAGAAACACCTAAAATTTAAATTACATTTTTATAAAATGTCACCTATTATATTCTATATGGCGAGCCGGCCTTCTAAAAAAGCTCTATATCAGTTTCCAGTTTTGAGATTTTCACTCCAATCCTTATTATAAAATATACGGACAATTCAAACATATTTTCTAACCGTAGTTGTATATATTTAAATGGAATGTTATATTTTCTTAGCTCAGTAGACTTGCCATTAAATTCTTGGTCTTTGTGGTCTTTGAAATATGACCATGTTATGTTATGTTTTAGACTAAATTTTCTGCACATTTAAAGCTCTCCCAAAATTATAAAATACCAAATTACTGACATTTTTTAGTAAGAAATATAACAGTGTTCCTTTTAAAACAAGGTGAACTAAATAGGTACACTGTACATAGCATATACAAGGAGAGTCAAAACATTATGTTGTATTTTTCACAACTACTTCAAATGAATAATCATTGTTTTACAATATACATGAACCTAGGTATATTTATATTTAAAATCAATGATTGTATTTAGAGCTTTTTTGGAAAGCTGGATAACTATGTATAACAAATTATGAAATAAAACATATGAGGAGCAAAATTATATGTAGGTATACCTGGTGGAGGCTGTACAGGGGCCCCAGTATATCTAAAGTAAGGATTTTTTAGATCCAAGGTGTTTTTAGATGTTTGTGTGGTACCTTCAACAGTAAGCTCTATTGTAACATCATAACTTTGTCTTTTATTAGCAATTAAAAGAACTGTGCCTGTTAAAACTTGTCCTTGCTTCAATAACAATGGTTGTTCTAATAAACATCTCACTTGATACCAGTGAGTAAGTGGCTCTGTGGGTGCAGTACTAAGCCAGATGGTTTGCTGTGATCCTATAAAAGCCACGTCAAACCAGAAGGCAAGACCGTGACACGTTCCAGATTCTAATATATGGAACTCTAAAGGGATGTTGATAGTGTGCAAGTCTGTTTCATCCGTTTCGAGGAAATCAACTACATGCCGAATACTTTTACTCATACATATCCTAACATCAAATGTATCTACAATAGGCTGTCTAAAATATTCCTTAACTGCACAATTTTGGATTGCTGATAAGTTCACTCCATGAAAGCAGGTCTGGAACCAAAAATTGGCTTTACTGTACTGCTCCATGTATAAGGAATCATCAGTAAATGGGGCAATATGTAAGTCACCCCTAGAAGGATACATTTTGCCACCAGGAACTAACCACCGTTTGGCATTAAGATAAGACTCTAACATTCTTTCGTTGTAGAGCATATAGCCCATAGGTTCAGAAATTATAACATCTACTTTCTCTGGAAGTTCTACTTCTTCTATTTTACCTGTAACAAATATTCTATTAACACAATTACATCAACAATGGATCAAATTCAAAGAATTTTAAATTATTTACCTGGTAAAACTTTAATACAATTGGAAAAATTATTTGCTTCAACTAGTTTTTGTGCATAATGAGCCATTGTCGAAGCTTCTACTGCATAAATACGTTTAGCACCAGCTTGAGCAGCGAAAAAAGATAAAATTCCAGAACCCGCACCCACATCCAATACAACTTTATCTTTAAAATCTTCCATGTTACATAATATCGCTCTCTGATAAGTATAAGTCCTAACAAAGTCTTGTAGCATATTCTGTTGTTGTGACAAATATCCATAAAACTGGAAATACTGAGTTGCAGAGGAATCTTCTGTTCTAACTGAAAAAACTGAAGCATCTCTGCCAGATTTGATTTTTGTTATTGCTACGGCAAAGTCACGCGCTTCCTCGGTAGTATTAAATTTAATTAGCAGAGATTCATTGTCAAATGAAAACATGTATGACTTCGCTCCAACTTTACAGCATTCACTACTAGAATCTACAGGAAACTCTAATAGCTCTGTAGTTTCATCCATTTCGAATATTCTCATGCTTATACCTTGTGGATCATAATCTGTTCTAAGTTTTACTTTTCTGTTGTATTTGGGTATATTAAAATTTTCTTCTTTAACTAAAAACACCAAAACTTCATGCATTTTGTGGGCCATAACGAGGTTCTTCAGCCGATATCTGATTGAATGAAAACTATAATTTTTGTGCACGCGAATGCAGACTACCACTTAAAAACTTAAACTTTAATATTTATTTCATTCTATGACCCACGTTTTTTGGAAATCTGTCAATGCTACACTCCAAAAAAGAACGTTTATTGTTTTCTTCCCGCACGCATCTTTTGACAAACATAAATAATAACCTCCCAAAATGAAAGCAGTGTGACCAACACAGCCAACAAGAAAACTTGATTTTTTTGAAATAAATATCCCTAGAATATTAATAAGTTAATCTATGGCTAATATACCTAGTTCCCGCTGTGGCAAAAAGTAAAGAATACCCTACCTACCATAGAATAAGTAAACCTACTTTTAGGCTCTGGCAAAGACCAAAGTCTGGGCCAAAGGCCAAAGGCTGTGGGATAGCTGAGGGCTCTAGTTCAAATCATGGTTCAAATTATCCTTGGCAGCTCAGGCCGTAAAACCAAAGATTATATTTTTAAATAATTCACTTTTTTATTACTTGTCAACAAACCGAGCATGTTTATCTGTCAAATTTGACAACAATTTTTTTCTCTTTGAATCAAAAAATCATTAGATTTCAGTTTTAGCGATTATTAATTAACAACTCGAACAAAAACTTAAGATGACCCATAATAGGTAAGTATAGTGCTATTTTACTCTGTATAACTTACTTTTTATTTCTCTATAGAAATAGAGTTGTCATTTTCTTCTTTCAACAGAGAATTGTTTTTTAGGAAGCGAACACGAAGTTTTCAAGATGAGACAGAGTTTATGCCTCTTTCAAAGAGAATTAATAATTTACATATTCACAATATGTTAAGTGAACAAGGACCTTTAATAAGCGCAGAATGGAATTTACAAGGACCATCAAATACACAAAATGTCAGGCTACCAGATTCTCCTAGTGAATCTGAAAGGAGTATAGAATCAAATTTTAGTCCTCCATATTCACCAGCATTAAATGAATCTCAAAATCCTCACTATTTCAATATTAATAAAGTGTTATATGAGATGTATCTTGAACGATTAAATAGAGGATGCCATCAAATTTAGATACATACATTATCAAAATGTGACTTTATACAGCATAGCCATTTATTGACTAGTGTTAGATGTATTTTTATGCTGTAAAAAGTGATCGATACATTCTTTTTGTACTGCCAATAAATAAGTTTGTTTTAATTGTAATATTGAGGTTTAGTTATAAATGACATTTTGTACAAAATATAATTTATTGTAATGATTATGTATTAGGAAGGTATTTTATATTTTATCTCAATTTTACTATAATATATTCTGTAATTTTATTTCTGTTTAGTATTTTAGAAATTTAATTTTAAAGTATTTGTCAAACAGGGTTACATGTTATTGTGGATGTATAGAGATAATTACTAGTTGCAATATATTCACGACATATATTGATATTAAATTAGAAATATAATTATTTACAAGAAACATTAATACATTAAGCAAAAAAATTTCTAAAATTCTAATTCCAGTAAAATACATTATATTTTTTCCTATTTTAGAATAAATAAATAACCTAATATAAATATATAACCTCAAGTTTATAAAAACCACCTTATATCTATTACTACAGATATTAAAGTTTAAAACTTTATGTAACTTAATATTAAAAAAGGCTTAAATAGATGCAGAAAATGTAAATATAAAAAAATCAATACGTTTAGGAATACGCGCGAAAAATTTGAATGAAAAATAACTGTAGTTAAAATGCCCTCTATGATGACGTTTGAACAAGAATTCTTGGCAAAGCCAAGTAGAACGGAAATGTACGGAGACTAGCGGACATGATGAAGTAGTGTTTCAGTGAAGTTTTATGGAATTTAGACTGTGTTTTAAAAACTTTAAACGACGGTAAGTACTTTATCTGAAGCAAAATTACCGTGATGTGACTGCTGGAGATAACACAGAGGTTTTCGCGGGTCGCGTATGTCCAAGGGTAGGGAGCTTCGTCGCTGTGATGTAGAAATTTGTGGAAGGGGTGCTCGTAACATACGTATTCATCCCCACAATCTTTAGGATAGGAAAGTGGTGGTGGATTTCCTCCACCACGTTTAGGCAGCGAAGCGTCATCGTCATAGATACAGCTCGGCTCTCAGATGAAATATTTTTCTGATTTTGTTGCTTGGAACTCTCAAGGTGAACGACCTAAAATCTGAAATTCCAAAGTGTTATCTCCAGTGGCCATTTTTTCGATTGCTGTTAATTTTTAGACTCTGTTGAAGGTACCTACTGATACAAAAATATCTATCTGCTTCCTAGGTTATTCTGAACTACCTAGTTATTAATAATAAATTCTCATCTTTCAATAATTATTCCTGCATAATATTTTGCTAAACAAAGAAGTCAGGTGAACGAACTTTACTAAAAAACTGGAAAGCTCTTTAAAAAAGTTACTAAATTTGAGGTTATCATAATACCAAAATAAATTCTGTCGTTATGTAAATATTTCAAAGAATTACTCCCTGGTATATTATAAAATTTAAATAGGTTTATGCTTGAAAATTAAACAATTTCATTCATGTATTGTTCTTTGCACAGGTGTATTACGACTGTTAAATAACAAACAACACAGTTGTTTAGTCCAGTCAAGCCCAGTTTGAATTATTTTGTTTTGTTAACACATTTTAAATATAAATTTATTGATTTTAAAACTATGATTCCTGTGGTGTTTTTATTTGCCGATATACCTAATCCTAATAGCTACAGGAGAATTATTTCAAGGCAATATCTGAGGCCAACGCATTTCGCAAGGCTCACATCGCAATTCAACCTACGCCTTAACTATTTTGTTTTTTCTTTAGTTGCACGAGAAGATAATGCAATTGAGTGCATTTGCATGTATGACGTCTAATCTATGAGTCAATTCCGTTAATCAATATGTTTTTTCTAGGAAGAGCGCTTATTTAAAATTTTCAATCTAGTATGCATAGAAAATAACATTTCAAAAGGAAATTGTGTTGAATTGGCAACGTCGCTACATTTTTGTTCTCGAGCAGAAACGGAGGGGAGTTGCCCCCCACCGAGACTTCTTCACCCTCCAACTGCTCAAATTTAGGGGTGATTGTGTAGGGGAAATTCTTTTATTAGGAGGAGGGGTTTGCCGAAATCCGAAATCTAATTTCATGAAGAAAACTTGCATTCCGGGGTTTACGTGGTCTCATAGATATTTTCCTTTTCACAAATAAAAAATGAAACTAAAAAAATGATTGATCGATACAGAAAGAGTTCATCGTTGCCACGTATACTTTTCTAGATGTAATATTCATTCCAATTTTGTAGTCTACTTTTGCGTTTAAAACTGCTTAAAAATGTTTTAAGTTTTTTTTATAACTATACGACTTTTAAGGTAAACAAGTATAGTTATAAAGGTTTCCTACTATTTAGGTTAACTAAGTGAAAATATTGAAAACACTCAATGAAAAGAATAATTTTTCCAATTCGTAAAAATTATGAGGATTATTTGTGATTCATAGATTTGGTTACAAATGGGTTTGGAACCGGGAAGTCCCGGTACCAAAATTACCGGGAATTCCCGGTTCTTTTGAGACATCAAAGAACCGGGACTCGAAACTATTAATTCCCGGTTCTTTCGGTACTTTCGGGAATCAGTAATTAAAAACATATTTTTTGTTACGTGCGATAGACTTGATACTTTCTAGCGGTCGAAATCAAACTCTTCTAAAAAATAAGTAGTGATGCTGTCTCTTATTCTGAAGTTATTTTGAAGTTTCTATAATCTTGATTAGCAATTATTGAAGTTTAAGGGGTGGGGGGGAGGGTGCCCGGTGGCGTAGAGGTACAGGCTCTCGTCTACTAATCTCAAGGTAGTGGGTTCGAATCCTACACCCGGTATTTCATCAGCCGACTATTTTTATTAAAATAAAAATAGTTTGGCTACCTAGGTCGACTTAGCCTTAAATGAGTACTTGGGATTCACAATCCTGAGGTAATAATAGACGGTTGAAGCGTAGTGCTAGCCACATTACCTTCCTTGTATACCGAACGGCTCTAGCTTGGCAAGCTGTACCTTGCTACTCCCAAAGCGTTAAACGCTATATACGGGAGCTATTATTATTATTATTAAGTTTTTTTTCTAATTTAGTTAAGTAATTAAAGTTGGTTTCGAGGTTGGTTGATGTTGTTTGATGTAATTTTTAAGCTACCTGTGTTTTCTTTTTTTTTCGCTTGTGTTCATGTTTACTTTCTCATGACTTAATAATTTGATATTATTTTCGTTTGAAACTCAATTTTTTTATCGGTTTTACTTTTGAGAACCATCCCTTGCTTGCTAATTGACGAACTCCACAATCGTTGAACGAAAATATTTTAGTACGGCGGGTATTAAGATATTCTTTGGTACGGCTCTGGAAACTTTAATTAAAGGGTTCAGATCTTTTTGCCCGTCACAGAACCGGGCCTCAGTAGCAATAATTAAAAAATTATTTTTTGTTACGTGAGAAAGTCCTTGGATACTTTTTACAAACTCTTCTAAATAAGTAATGATGCTATTTCTTATTGTTCTTGCTTCTTTTTTCTTTTGAAGTTCTTATAATATTTATTATGTTATATTTTAATAGATATTTGCACTTTGACTCAAATTTAGTTAAGTTGGTTTATGGAGTTTGATGTGAAATTTAAGTTACCTATACTTTTTTCTTTACTTGTGTTCACGCTAATTTTTTCATGACTGATTACTTAATAATTTGATATTATTTTCATTAAAAATCTCAATTTTTTTATCCATTTTAGTTTCAAAAACCATCGCTTACTTTCTGATTGATGAACTGTACCACCATTGAACAAAAATTAGTCAGTACCAAAATTACCGAAAGACGAAAATAAGTACCAAAAGTACCCGAAAAACGGGAAATCCCGGTTCCTAAGAGGCGCGGTGCGCGGTACCGAAATTCCCGGTTCCGAAATTCCCGGTTCCGAAAAACAGCTCCTGTTCCGGAAACCCTAGTTACAAAGTATGGCCGGTCAACAAAAGAATATCCAAGTATTGGACATAGTAACAGTGACAGTAGTTGACATGATTTTAATTCAAAAGTAGATTGATTTTTCTGATTTTTTTGTACAACACTTTGAAAATAAGGCAAGTGCTCATCTACGTCGAGCACCGGTTCCCAATAGATCACCGACGTTAAGCGACGTTAGACGATGCGAGTGAATGAACGGGTGGTGTTGTGCTGTTGTTCCGTGACAATAGTAAAATCTATTTATACACACTGCTCTTTCACGGCGGTTCGAGGCCGTATGAGATCGGATACGTCGTAATAGTCGATTTTAGACACTTGCCAAGTCGGCAGGCCATTGAGAATGATATGGCCGAGGACCGCGATTCGGGTTCCGCGTAAACAAAGTAGGCCCCGTCCTGATTAGTCTGAGCAGCAAAAAGAGACATTAACTTAAAAAAAACATTAACTAAAAATAGGCTAAAATATGACATAGCATATGTCAACTTTTGACATTTTCAATAAAAAAAAACGCTAATTTTAATGTTTTAAGTGCCATAAATTATTCGTAAAAAAATACTTTTTCCAAATATGCTAATGAGCCACCCTCGTTTCATTTGAAAACATTGAGATTAAAAATGTGATTTGGGCAACCATGGCACACTGGATTGAAATTTAAAATACGATTTTTTAAGCGAGAATGTCAAAAGTTGACATATGATATATGTCATTCTATTCGGAGTGTCATTTTCTATCGAATAAAGTAGAAATATACCTAGGGTGCTATTTAAAACTCAAAAGTTGTAGTAATTTCCGGTGAAACAGGAAGTCACCGAAAATAATTGAATACGTCAATCAATCCTGATTTATATCATATACTAATATACCAAATCTCGTTTTTTTTTTATCTGAAAAAAAAAGTTATAGGGGTGAGCCAGTTTTGAGACATACCCGGTATATACTTAAAAGATTTGGCACCAATTGCCGCTAAGTTTTCGAGAGAAGTAGGTTGTCTTTCTCTTTTAAAAGTACCAGATAATCTTTTTTTTTGCCTTTTTATAATTTTATTACAAATTATTCCTACTTAAGGTTTCAATATATTTTAAAATGATGCGATGTCTGAAGATATTTTTACCAAATGTTTATATGTTTTTGGTAGGACCATAAACCAAAATTAAAAAATATATATGTAGTAGTTGAACAATCTACAGAACCGTTAACTGAAATGTTTTAAAAAATCTTACTAATGTTCAGAACCAAGAACTCCTTTAATTACCGCTTGATTCTCTGTATACAATTTCGGAATTCCAATGCATTCAAGCACGACACTGGCCAAAATAATCTGAAGACGCTGAGAAAGAGTTATACGGAGACATTACTACTTTCTAAGATTTTATTTGCTTCGTTTCTTTAACCGAAATTCTTTCAACCACTCTTACGATGTTTGCGCCTAGAGACCGAGTTTGGCTTAACATTTGAAATTTTTATTAAAAGAACATAAAAAAATCTTTACTCAATTATACAGGCTGGCGCCTCCCATATGACATGGAGGCAGAGGTTCCAAGGAGAACGACAGTTGTATTGCACCTAAATATTGTGGAACATATTATGTATGTTTAGTTAGGGTATTATTTGTTAATTTAGAGCATTTTTAAAAATTATTTATACAGGGTACTCTCAAAAAAAGTTCCACATCAAAGTTGTGTGTTTTGTAATGGAACATCCTATAATATTAATTGATTTTCGGTTTCTAGAAAAAAAAGAGTTCTTAGACAAGTTTATGACTAAAATCTAAGGTTTTTGATTTTAGTCATTTACTTCATATACATACATATACATACAAGAAGCAGCTTAGCGATGGGATACACCCATCGCTAATACCAGTCGCCATAATAC